GGTTAATTGTTGGTCTTCACCATTATATCACCCTTCCATGGGCTCCTCCTCTATACTGTCAGGTACTAGAAGTCTGCAAAGTATTTCCTAGGCCTCCTTGCATACAAAGAGGTTTAGGTTCTGCCAATGGAAGCCAATGTTAGATTAAGAGGCAAGACATAGAGCAGGCCAGTTTTTTTCTGCTTCTGTTTGACACCGCCACCAGTGAGCAACTGTGAGCCACACCAACGGCCAGCAGCACTCTGACCAATCAGGTAAGTTTCAAGGGGACTACAGGCTCCTTGACTCTGGAAGAAGTCCCAAGAAAGCAAGCTCCTGGCTTCCTGGCCAGGTAACAATGGCCGTATTCTCAACAGTGCAGTACTGAGGGGCTCTGGGAAACACCATTTTCCCTTTTGTTTCTCCAGCTTCAGGGGCAACAGCTGCTTCCCATATTTACTAATCTCTAGGTGGCATCACCTTAATTTTTTTCTTTTTTTTTTTATTTTTTTAAGATTTTTTATTTATTTGACAGAGAACACAAGTAGGCAGAGAAGCAAGCAGAGAGAGAGAGAGGGGAAGGGAAGCAGGCTCCCTGCTGAGCAGAGAGCCCGATGCAGGGCTCGATCCCAGCACCCTGGGATCATGACCTGAGCCGAAGGCAGAGGCTTTAACCCACTGAGCCACCCAGGCACCCCAACATTTAACCTTACATGTTAATTTCAAATCAATAGCTTTTATCCCCCCCAAAATTAATTCTCACTATAGTTTGAAGTTTAATGTAAGTGTAAAGTTTAATGTAATAGTTTGAAGTTTAAACACAATCACTTGATTTAAAAAGAAATAAAACAAAAAAAAAAAAAGAAATAAAACATACTATATTTTGAAATCTAAATCCAACAGAAAGCAAAAAGAGAACTAATAAGAGGTCATCAAAAGGAACAAATTGGTCAGGGGCGCCTGGGTGGCTCAGTGGGTTAAAGCCTCTGCCTTCAGCTCAGGTCTTGATCCCAGGGTCCTGGGATAGAGCCCTGTATTGGGCTCTCTGATCAGCAGGGAACCTGCTTCCCCCCAACCCCTGCCTGCCTCTCTGCCTACTTGTGATCTCTGTCTGTCAAATAAATAAATAAAATCTTTTAAAAAAAAAAAAAAAAAAAGAAAGAAAGAAAAGAAACAAATTGGTCAAAATATTAGAGCTAAAACCATAAAACTCTTAGAAGAAACTGAAGGAATAAATCTTCATCATCTGGGATTTGATGATGGATTTTTGGATATGATCCCAAAAGCAAAACAACATAAGAAAAAATAGATAAATTGAATTTCATCAAAATTAAGTTTTGAGCAAAGGACATTATCAAGAAAGTGAAAAGACAACTTACAGAATGGGAGAAAATATTGATATATCACTTATCTGATAAGAGTTTAATATCCAAAATATACAAAAAATTCGATTTTAAAAATTCCAATTTTAAAATGGTGAAAGGAGTTGAATGGTAAGGATGACAGAAGATCTACAAATGGCCAATAAGCACATGGAAACATGCTCAACTATATTAAGCATTAGAGGAATGCAAATCAAAATTCAGTGAGACAATACTTCATACCTACTAGGATAGCTATGATCAAAAGAATGGAAAATAGTAAATGTTGACAAGGATGTGAAAAATTGGAATATTCATACATTGCTGGTGGGAATGTGAATGGTACAGGTTCTGTGAAAAACAATTTAGTGGTTCCTCAAGAAGGAAGTGGTATAGAAGTACCATATGAACCAGTAATTCCATACTTGGATATATACCCAAAAGACCTAAAATCAGAAAATGAGGCAAATACTTGTACATGATAATTTTTATAGAGATAAAATTTGAAGTACAATTAAAATATTATCAGATAACTTTATCCTTAATTTGTTGACCAAAAAGGCCAATCAAATTAAGAACCAAACCTTAGCAGAATTTAAAGAATGTTAAATGTTGATATTCTTGTTATATACAGCTGCTAATGAACTTCGAAGCACCAAATAATTATATTAACAGCCATACACTTTAAGCTCTTTAAAAAACTGTAAGAAGCATATAAAACAAAATTAACTCAAAATAGATTAAAAACTTGAATGGAAGACCAGAACCCATAAAACTCCTAGAAGAAAACACAGGCAGTAAAGCTCCTTGACGTAAGTCTTGGCAATAATTTTTTTGGATTTGACACCAAAGCAAAGGCAACAAAAACAAAAATAAACAAATGGTACCACATCAAACTGAAAAGTTTCTGCACTACAAAGGAAACCAACAACAAAGTGAAAAAGCAACTTACTTAATGGCAGAAGATATTTGCAAATCATATATCTGATAAGGGATTAATATTAAAAACTCATACAATAGCAAAAAAAAATCTGATTAAAAAAAATGGGCAGAGGGTCTGAATAGACATGTTTCCAAAAACAAACATGCAGATTGCTGATACATGAAAAGATGTTCTACATCACTAATCATCAAGGAAATGTAAATCAAACTGCAATGAGACACCACTTCATCCCTGTTAGAATGGCCATTATCAAAAGGACAAGAAAAAAAAAAAAAAGACAAGAAGTAACAAATGTTGATGAGGTTACAGAGAAAAGGGAACGCTTATGCATTGTTGGTGGCAATGCAAACTGGTACAGCTACTACAGAAAACAGTACTGAGGCTCCTCAAAAAATTAAAATTAGAACTACTATATGATCCAGCAATTCTATTTCTGGGTATTAGGAGAAGAAAGTGAAAACACGAACTATTTACAATAACCACGATATGAAAACAACCTAAATGTCCATCAATGGATGAACAGATAAAGAAGATATAGATATATAGATAAATATGTGTGTATATATATATAGATAGATAGATACACATACAATGCAATACTACTTAGCCATAAAAAATAATGAACCTCTGCCATTTGCAACAAAATGGATGGACCTTTCAGTCATTATGCTAAGTGAAATAAGTCAGAGAGAAAAAGATAAATACTGTATGATTGCACTCAGATGTAAAATTTTTTAAATAACAACAAAAAACAAGTTTAAGGCTATGGAGAACAGACGGGTCTGGTGGCTGCCTGAGGCAGGGGGTAAAGGGTAATGGGGGTCATTTCTAGTTATAAAAGGAGTATGTTGTGGGAATGTAACAAACAGCATGATGACTATAGTTAATAATACCATACTGCACAGGTGCCTTGGGTGGCTTAGTCAGTTAAGCAACCGACTCTTGATTACAGCTCAGGTCGTGATCTCACATCTGGCTCTGAGCTCAGTGCAGAGTTTTCCTGTCCCTCTCCCTCTGCTCCTCCCCCGCCCTCAAATAAATGAATAAAATCTTTTAAAAAATAATAATAATACTATACTGCATATTCGAAATTAGGTAAGAGAGTAGGTCTTGAAAGTTATTATCACAAGAAAAAAAATTTTAACTATATGTGGTGAGACGTTAACTGGAGTTTACTATGGTAATCATTTTGCAATATATGCAAATATAGAATTGTTACATGGAATCTTTGTACATATGAAATCAACATAATGTCAATTATACCTCAATAAAAATTGTTTTTAAAAGAAGTACATAACTTACAAGCTACTACATTTTCAGTAAACTTTTCCAAAATTTATAAAGGAATTGCCTGACATTCTAAAAAAGTAGTATATATCCCTCATTCTTGAGGGATAAAAGCCCTTAAATCTTTCAGCTATTTTATTTTGACTTTAGGTTTTATTGCACTGGTGATAATCATAAAAATAAATGTTCTATTCTATTGAAGGAGCTGAGACGCACTTCAACAGATGAATGGATAAAGAAGATGTGGTCCATATATACAATGGAATATTCTTCAGCCATCAGAAAGGATGGATACCCAACATTTGCATTAACATGGATGGAACTGGAGAAGATTATGCTAAGTGAAATAAGTCAAACAGAGAAAGACAATTATCATATGGTTTCACTTATTTGTGGAACATAAGGAATAGCATGGAGGACATTAGGAGAAGGAAGGGAAAAATGAAGGGGGAGGATCAGAGTGGGAGACGAACCATGAGAGACTATGGACTCCGGGAATCAAACTGAGGATTTTAGAGGGGAGGGGAGTGGGGGATGAGTGAGCTCAGTCATGGGCATGAAGGAGGGCACGTACTGCATGGAGCACTGGATATTATATGCAAACAATGAATCATGGAATACTACATCAAAAACTAATGATGTACTGTATGGTGACTAACATAACATAATTTTTTAAATAAATAAATAATGTTCTTAACAAAGTTAAACAGAAAAAAAAAAAAAAAACAGTATCTTTTGCCCTCATGAATAACTAGAATAAAAGTCCTCAAATCTTAAATGCATATATAAATAGCTCAAAGAATACAGCAGTCTTTAATACTGGAAACTGATTAGACAAAGGGGATATATACTTGAAGCATCTTAAAAGAAACAACTAAATTTAGAAAAATGGCTTTTACTTCTTTATTCTTAAAATAATTCCTTAAAAACTCACAAAGGCACAATTGAAACAAAAAAGATAACTTTTATGGGTATATATGTCACTCATATTAAGTTCACTATATTAGAATGAGAAATAGGAGCGCCTGGGTGGCTCAGTTGTTAAGCATCTGCCTTTGACTCAGGTCATGATCCCAGGGTCCTGGGACTGAGTCCCACATTGGGCTCCCTGCTCAGCGGGAAGCCTGCTTCTGCCTCTCCCACTCCCCCTGCTTATGTTCCCTCTCTCGATGTGTCTCCGTCAAATAAATGAATAAAATTTTTTAAAAAAGAAATAAATGTCTCTCTCTCATACACATACACACACACACACACACACACACACACATACACACACACTCACATACATACATACATTTTAGATCCATGAACTAAGAAGCTGGTTAATCAAAGTTACTGAATTATAACAAGTAATTTTATAAAATACCGCCATTCAAAGAAAGTACTAAATATTTACATGGTCATAGTAACACCTACTTACTGACACTTACTGTGTGAAAATTTATCATTTCTTGAAGACTGTCAGAAAACTTGGTCAAGCTTGTCTAGGGAGAAAGAAACCAAAAGAAAAACTAAGTCATTTAAGAGCCACGAAAATAGGTCACAAAAATGTTACTTCTGCATTTCTGACAGAAAGATCTAGTTACACTGTAAACAGTAACATTTACTTCTGAGGATGATTTCATGGTATTGCCTCATGGGCATGCTCTGCAAAGAGGACAAATGTACATATGGTAGGTAACATAAAACCCAAGAATAGTCCAAAGAATTAGCACTGCCATATCAACAGGAGTAGGCTAACAAATAATAATGTCACATATAAGCCTAAAGGTAAAATTGAGTGTATCAAGACTGTGCCCATTTAGACATCCATGAATCAAACAATCATCAAAGCATGCCCATTACCTAACCAGGTATTATTCCTCATGGAAGAATTATCATAACACCACACAGTATAGCAAGGGGCCTAAGTTAACCCAGCACAGCTAGCTGACAAGAGCTTTGCTATGCAAACCCATACATAGTTAGATACTATTCTTAAGATTTAAATGCTCTCTGCTTGCCCTAAAAGCTCCTACTAGTAAGCTTAGTCCTCCTCTCCCTGCTCGGGTCCTCTTGTAGATGATCCAGCTCACCTAGCAGAAGTACTTATAGTCACAATGCAAATCAACCATCAACTTCTAACTATTTTAGAAAACAGAATTATACAACACCAGTAGGTGACAGCTTTTCTATTCCTAATTTTAAGGACCACTATAACTTCTAATAAGGTAAATGGATGCATAGTTCTTTAATATTTTGTTGAATTTATCATATTAACTAATTTTAATAATACTAACCTCAACTACAGCATCATTACTAGAATACTGTGCCAGGTCTCGAATCCCATTCATGAACTGTTTATTTGCAACACAAAAGGCCTTTCCGGTATCAATCATCACAATACAAAGTTTCACAAGCTGAAAAAGAAAAACATTACATCAGGTTGAAGATAATTACACAAATTACCTAGTTAAACAAGTGTTAGCAACAGCTACATGAGTTAGCCTAGCTAAGATAAATTATGGTTCATCAGTAAAGCCAAAATAGACTAACTGAAATTGTTCTTTTTAACTCTGACTTACAAAGTAAATTCATAGTAGAACTGTACCCAAAAAAGTCGACCCTTTAGGACCCAGAGGCTGTAATGGTAACAACAATAAATACTTTTACCAAGTCATATTCAATCCCATAACTCCATAAAAATTTATTAAACACCACTTAGAAGGAAGAATAGGGAATTTCAGGCAGAACAAGCAGTCTGCTTTAAAAAAAAAAAAATTTTAATTAAAAAAAAAAAAAAGAAAAAAACCTGTGCTATGTTGGAGGAAAAGGGAGTAAACTGGTACGTTGGATTAGTCATGCTAGGCATTTCAGTGTCAACCTATCAACACAAACATCTGAATTGATTAATCAACCATTATTTCTTCAATGCCTACTATTTTAGGCTTTGAGCTAGCCTTAAAATTTAGACTTTCTTTCACCTTTCTTTCTCTAAAATTCTTCTCCTTCCCCTTTTCTTTTTTCTGTTCCTTATTTTTCTCCTTTCACTCAAACACATAACATTTCCTTTAAACAAATAAAATCCTGGGTGAATACATAGATTTTTTAAAAAGGTAGAGAAGGGAAGGATACTGAGGGGGTACTGGTGGGAGCACCAAGAAGAGGGTAAAGAGCCAAAACAACAACAACAAACCTTTAGAAAACATCTAAAGGATCTCAGGAGTAGAATTTAAAAACTGTTACCCTAGGGCCCAGAAGAAAAGAAATTAAAAATACACTGTCTGCTCTCAGAAGCTTTAAATCGAACCAGTAGACAAGCAGATAAATTCTGTACAGCACAAACACAACAGCTACGCATGACTAAACCATACATGATCGAAAAAAGGAAGAACATCTAGCCAGGACTAAGGGCATCAGGGAAGGATTGCTGGAAAAGATAATAATTAAGAAAAGCCCAGAAAGACCAACAAAAATTAGCCAATCAGACAAGAGTAATGGGAAGATACTACTCTAGGAAGAGCATGTTTTAAGGTAAGGCCCAGAAGCGACATGAGAAGAGAAAACCAGAGACACTTAGTAGCTTAGTGTGGTGTGAAAATGTGGCACATTAAAAGTGTGATGTTGAAAATGTATGCAAGGGCCAGATCAGGACAAGCGTTTGTATGCAATGCTAAGATGTTCACATTTTGTATGAAAGGAAACAGAGAACAAGTGAATACACTAATTGGTAAGTTCACCAGAGTTCCATTTCAGAATGATGACCTAAATGGAGAAAAAGCAAAGACAGGGAAAAGAAAGACTAAAGATAAGGGGATTAGACCAAAAACCATGACAGGCTGAATTAAGGCAGTAAGCAGGAGAGAAATGAGGAGAAAAACTTGAGAATTATAGTCGAGTACCCTTCTGGAGTACCCTTCTGTAGTACAGTAATATAGACTGTGTTCCACCAAGGGGAAAAAAATTGGAGCTGAAATCCAGCGTCAGCTCTGCTTGCCATGGGCTACATCTGCTAATTCACACAAAGACACATTAAACTGGCCAGCAAAAGACTCCTGTTTTCATTGTATTAGGCCTGTGACATGGCCCTGAATTAGATGGGCCTGTGATATAAGTCAAGTGGAAAGCTGGACCAAACACGTGAAAACAAGACATATGAAACTCAAAAAAGAGGTGCGTGCTGTAGATACAGAGGAATCATCAGCATATATACAGTTACAGTGCTACAATGCTATATCCCACACAGGAGACAGAGGACAGAGCTTGCAGAGTGAAAACCTCACGAAGAAAACAAAAGAGGAAGAGTAAAAGTAGGAGGAAAAGCAAGAGAATAATTTCACAAAAGTAAAAAAAGAACTAAGGATCAAAAAGTAGATGAACAGGTTGAAAATCCATAAAGTCCAATTTTAAAAAGATTTTTTAAAGGTCTGTTAAGGTTGTCACCCAGTATCCCTGGCAAGAATAATTGTAAGAGAAACTGACAGGGGAGCTGTTAGCAGATTACAGTGAGTTATGAACTGCAGATGTAGAAGACATGATGATAGATCAGTATTTCCCAATATGTACTCTACAAAATATCCTACAGGAATATCCTACACCAAAATAAGGATCTTGTGACAAAATAAATCTGGCAAACTCTGCATCTGAAGAACTAAACAGATTTCTTTATTGCTGAATTTTAAAGAGATTTTGATATATTCATATGTGTTGTGAATCCTAGAAGAGTATAAAATATGTAGCAGTTCTCAAAAATATTTGACATGGAATTCTTTCTCAGAGGAACCATGCTCATAGAAACAACATTCCAAAAAACTCACTAAGAGAACTGCAGGTGGAGATCAGTCTTTTAGTTTGAAAATTACAAATAAATAGAAAATTACAAGAAATAATGTCTTAAAAACCAGAAAAACTAATTATAAAATTCATAGGAGAGTAACCAACATACAAGAAGAGGGGAAAATGAGTGATGAGATGGGAACATTAGCTTTATATATATGTATTTTTTTTAAAGATTTTATTTATTTATTTGAGAGAGAGATCACAAGTAGGCAGAGAGGCAGGCAGAGAGAGGGGAGGAAGCAGACTCCCTGCTGAGCAGAGAGCCTGATGCGGGACTCGATTCCGGGACCCTGAGATCATGACCTGAGCCGAAGGCAGCAGCTTAACCCACTGAGCCTCCCAGGTGCCCATAGCTTTATATATTATTAAAATGTATTATACCAAAAAAAAAAAAAAAAAAAGGTACAAGTATAGTAATTACAATTCTGGTAATGGCCGTGAACAGACAAATGGAAAGAATACAGAGTCAAGAAACCATTACAAATATGCAGTACTTTCCAGCCAGTGGGGGAAAAAGTGATCCAATAAATGACATAGGGACACTAGAATCTAATGGGAGAAAAAGAAAAAAAGAAACCAAATTCAATTCCAAACCCTCCAATTAATTTCAGATGGAATAAAGATTTAAACATGAAATACTAAATCAGAAAATTAAAACAGGAAGTAATATTTTTTATAATCTCAAAGTAAGAAAAGTCTTTTTGAGAAAGTTGCAAAACTCAAAAGTCACAGAAAACAACAAATCAATTCAACTACAAAAAAAATAAAAATTTTATGGCGCCTGATGGCTCAGTTGGTTGAGTGTCCAACTCTTGATCTCAGCTCAGGTCTTGATCTCAGGACCATGAGTTCAAGCCCCACACTAGGCTCCACCCTGGCTATGTATGTATATATGTGTATATTTATACACACACACACACACACGTATATATATGAAACATTTTTATCAGGGGGATAAAAAACAATAAATTTAGTCAAAAGACAGCAATATGGAAAAACAGTATTAGCGACAAATCATAAGGGACTAATTTCCCTGCTCTAAGAAGAGGATATAAATCATTTTTGAAAATCAAACCAGCCACTAGAAAAATAATGGCCAACCAATTATGTACAGATAATTCCCAGTAAAGAAAATTCAAATACATCCTACGCCTATGAAAAAAAATTCAATCTCATAGTAAAAGAGTATTTTACAAAGAGTAAATTACTCTTTTTTTTACAGAATAGCAAAGATCGAAAAGTTTGTTAACTTGCTATTTTAGAGAGGGTATGGAGAACCAGGCACTCATACATTTATGGGAAATGTAAACTGGTACAATTTCTGTGTAAGGCAATTTAGCAAGAGCTATCAATATTTTAAATACATACCCTCTAACCTAACAATTTCACTTTTAGGAAAGTATTATGAAGTTATTTTTTCACATAAACCACATGACACACATGTGAAGTCATACACTGCAGTCACAGTAAAATATAGGTAGCAATCTGAGTCCATCAGTAGGCAACTGAATAAATAAATTATGATATATCCATACAATGAAATACAATTCAGCCGTCAAAAAGAATGTGGCAGCTCAATAATTAATAATAAAAACCAAAATCCAAGATGTATTTTTTCAAAAAACAAAATACAGGGGCGCCTGGGTGGCTCAGTGGGTTAAAGCCTCTGCCTTCAGCTCAGGTCATGATCTCAGGGTCCTGGGATCAAGCCCCACATGGGGCTATCTGCTCAGTGGGGAGCCTGCTTCCCCTTCTCTCTCTGCCTACCTGTGATCTCTCCCTCTGTGTCAAATAAATACATACAATCTTAAAAAAAGAAAAATGTAGAACAGTTTTAATATTTTTGTTGTAGTGGGAGAGAAGACAAACATTTATAATCTTTTACATGCCTAGAAAATTTCTGGAAGGACTCAAGTGTACTCGTTTAGGAAAGAGACTAAAGGATGACTAATTTTTCATTGGATACACACTTTCGTATCTTTAAAGTTTATATCATGTAGGAGGTATTACTTATTCAACAAATTAAATAATTTAAAAATAATTAAAAGGTCCCATAGTAACTAAAGGAGAGAGAGAGGTTGGTAGTATGACATTATGGTTAAAAACACAGAGTTACGGGTTTAGTCAGCTTAGATTCAAATCCTGCTGCCCTACTTAACCACCTAAATGATCCTGAGTGACCTTAACCTCAGTAACCTTTAAGTTTTTTTCTGTCTGAAATGATCACAATGGTACCAAACCATACAAGGTTACTATAAAAGAGTTAAGGTAATGCACATAAAGATCTTAGCACAAACCATTACTGGCACATGGTAATTACTAAAGATTTATGTTTCCTTGTCAGAGTTTTGTTATTTGCTTTTGGTTTTCTCTCTTATTTTTTGTTCCAAAGAAACTTGAACACTTTCTACTTAAAATGAAGAGGTGGCAGAGAAAGAAAAGGAGAAAGATGACTAAAGCAAAGTTCTGAGAAGTTAGAAGTTGGAATTACATAGGAAAAGGGATACTTTTATCACTCAAATGGGAGGAAAAGTGGAAAAAGAGAAGGACATATTCTAAATTTCTAGATTAGGAACAAGGA